ATGTATATGCATATGTATATGATTCTACTGTGTCCATCTGATCTTTGCCCGTACCTACTCTGTCCCGTGCTTAGACTACAAGTGGTGGCTTCACTGGGGAGTGTGTGGGCTATGCTGATCTCCGGTTTCGATGACATGGTGTCAGATATTGACAACAGCCAAGCTGTGTTAGAAGCAGGTGAGTGATGGGGTGGGTGTAGGTAGATAAGCATGTGAAAATGTACATAACACATGCGAATGTGTATTGGGCGTCATCTGGCCATACTTGAACGGATGAACATGGTTTAGATAAATAAAGTATCTGAAAACGTACTAGTCGCATACGAATGTGTATTAGAGACAGACGGCCAAGGCGTACGAAGGAGGCAAAAACCTGTGTGTGTAAGCAGATACGGATGTAAACGTACGAATGAGGATGACTATGACTATGGTGCCTATATGCTTATATAAGCAGCAATCCAAACTATACTGACCAGAAACCCTTAACCCTAAACCCTAAACCAAAAGGAACTCGCTACTCACTCCCATACATAATTCCCAGACCCCACAAGGCCAACCAGCCACACATAGCCATAAACCCGAAACCCTAAACTCTTAGCTCTACAGGCAGCTATTCTCACACTACCGTACAATAAACGCAAATCTGTGCCAGAAACTACACAACCAATCAAATACCTAAACCCAACAGCCGTGCACCTGGATGGCAGTCCCACAACAACCGCTGAGGACAGCACTACTGCGCCCACACCCCTGTCCTCTGAACACGTGGCCATGATCATGGACTGGCTGGAACCAGAACTAGACGAACTGTATGAGACATCCTCAGTAGTCTCCATCGACGAAAGCGCCGGACTAGACCAGGATATCCAATCTGTGGTAAGGCGGAGTGTGTCTGTGCGTGTGTGTGGGTGTGAGTGGGTGTGAGAAGGTAATATATATACATATATATATATATATGGATGTATGTATGTATGTATGTATGTACGTATGTACGTATGTATGTATGTATATATATATATATATATATGCGTGTGTGTGTGTGTTTGTGTGTGTGTGTGTGTGCTGGTGTGTGTGTGTGATTGTGTTTTGGTTGTGGTGTGTCTGTGCCTGTGTCTATGGCTATGTCTGTCTCTGTCTCTGTCTCTGTCTCTGTCTCTGTCTCTGTCTCTGTGTCGTATAGGTGTGGTGGCATGTAGGTATTCGTGTGTGTTGAGTTCTGTTGTGTGTATATGTGCATAAATAGTTCCTGTATCTATATACCAAATACCTCTTGCATCACATGAGACCTTATCTGCAAAGCCCTTTGATTGTCAGTGCCCCGCCCGCTATACAGAGATATCGATCCGTTTGCATCGGTGTGTGTTTGTATATATACGCATAGGTGTATAGATGCAAGACAGAGAGTGTGTGTGCGTGTATTACACTCAGTGCACGTACGAGCACAGACACTCCGATAAACATCGACACAATGTAAACCACACACAGTCGCCTCCTCTCAGCGACGGCTCTTATTCTCACACCATTTGTCTTATTTTCTCAGCTGAGAAAAGAGCAAGATCTGTTGGCGGGGATCATGGAAGTGATGGACAACCTGGACATGCCCTGCGAGTGGTTGGCCAAGGTATGTACACCGCAAAACCGCAAAACTCAGAACTAAAGAGCTACCCACAGACCGCACCTACACAGTTGCCTGACTGAGGGTATATAGATGTGTGTGTATTGTTAGAATAAGCCAAACTTATACGTCTCACATGCATACATACATGTATGTACTTGTCTACCTCTCTCACATTCATACATGTACGTTCTTGTTTAATCCCACCACATGTAGTATGCAAATGTCCAACGCAGCATGATACAACGATACACCTCTGTGCGCACAGCCAGACGATTCAGCCACAAGCCACGTGAAACATCCATCCCCACAGTAGAAGAAGGTGAGGGTAATTGCTGGCACACACACATGCACAAGCATACACGTATACGCAATGAAACTGTCTATTTATATATGTATGTATGTTTGTACTATATGTTTATATATATATATCTACATCTATATATTTTAAATATATATATATATATACTTATATACTTATATATATATGTATATATATTATATATATATGTGTGTGTGTGTGTGTATGTCTGTGTGTGTTTATGTGTGCGTGTGTGTGTAAATATGTGTATTTGTATTTGTAGACCTACATATATGTATTTATTTATGTATGAATGTATACACGTATATATGTATACACGTGTATATATATATATATATATATTTATATATTTTTATATTTATATATATATATATATGTATATATATATAAATATATATATATTCATATATAGATATGTAGATATACATATAATTG